CCCATGCGAACTGCACCACTGGGACCGTAGGTGGAGCTCCCTATGGGGCCACGAACCGTGTGAGGGGTGCGCCAAAATGGGGCGGCGCCGCCATGCGAACTGCACCACAGGGACCTCAGATGGAGCTCCCTATGGGGCCACGAACCGTGTGAGGGGTGTGCCAAAATGGGGCGGCGCCGCCATGCGAACTGCACCACTGGGACCTCAGATGGAGCTCCCTATGGGGCCACGAACCGTGTGAGGGGTGCGCCAGAATGGGGCGGCGCCGCCATGCGAACTGCACCACTGGGACCTTAGATGGAGCTCCCTATGGGGCCACGAACCGTGTGAGGGGTGCGCCAGAATGGGGCGGCGCCGCCATGTGAAGTGCACCACTGGGACCTTGGGGGGGCTTCGTATGGGGGCACGAACCGTGTGAGGGGTGCGCCAAATTGAGGGTGACGAGAGGAGAGAGGAGGGGGAAGGAGGAGGAAGGAGGGGGAGGAGGAGGAGAGGAGGGACGCGGGCCACCGTCTCTTCAAAACGAGGACCCAACACCACAGGACGCTTGGGAAAAAGAGAAGAGGAAAGGAAAACAGGAGAGGAGGGACGCCGGAACCGTCTCGTCAAAGCGAGGACCCGACGCCACATCATGGTCGGGGACTAAAGCAGGGAACGGACAACCAGGGGCGCCGACAGGGGGGGATCCGGCCGAGGTTGGGGAAGCTGCGACCACCAATCGACAGTTTTCACGGAAACGCAAACATAAATGAGGCGCTCCTCCTCCTCCTCCTCCTCCTCCTCCTCTTCCTGCTCCCCCTCCTGTTCCTCCCCTTTTCCTCCTCCTCCTCCTCCTCTTTCTCCTCCTCCTCGTCCTCCTCCTCCTCCCTCCTCCTCCTCCTTCCTCCTCCTCCTCCTCCTCCTCCTCATCCTCCTCCTCTTGGTCCAGCGTCGATTACGGTAGGTTCGCGTCGTGTCGACCGGCGGCGACCCCGCCGCCGACGTTCAACGTTGAAAGCCGACGGCGGCCCAGAATCGGTCGATGATGAACGATCGGACGTTGCGGAAGCGGCCGATCGTTCAAGGATGCACGACCAGCGCGGAGACTAGAACCAACGGCAGTGTCGATACGACACGAGCCTGCAGGAGGCGCGTGGACCAGCGACGGGTCCCGCGCCCATGCAGATCGACGCTCTCCGTCGCCAGATCAGGTGGCACCGGCTGCACATTTCACGCCGTACTTGCCCCGATCTGTGGATCCCAGATCCATTGTAGCGTTGTGGAGCACAATCAATGGGGAGGGATTGCGCGGCGAAATTATTTCCAGATGTCTAAAGATGTTTCAAACATGCCAGACTATATTTAAAACGTGAGCTTAAACGTGTCAAGGACAGGTTTCAACCATTCGAAACACATTGTTCATCGAATGATGGGATCGTTAGGGTGTCCATTGTCATGGCGCCACAGTTTCTGCGCGTGCCCGACACCCCCCGCCACGCCAGGCCTGCCCCCCCCCCCGATCCCCCGAGCCCAGCAGCGGGCCGCTTCGCGTGCTCCGGGGGCCCGGCGCCCACCTGCCGGCAGTGCCTCGCTGAGCGCCCTGGAGCGCTGTGGTCTGTGGCCGTTCTTCCTGGATCTCAGAGCGTGAATTACCTACCCCGCTTTCGCTTCCAGGCAAAACCAAGTCATACCACGCGCCTCCTTGTCAAGCGGCCTGACCAGTACAGGCCGTAGTTTAGCATCGTTTGGTATTTCTTGGAAGCGAGGGTGGTCAAAAACGAGGTTTGTTTCCCCCCTAGGATCAGCGTTTGCACTGAAGGGGTCCTAGCGGAAGTTGAAAGATTTGGCGAAAATGTCCCGCCGATTTTGGTAGCAAGCTGGGCTCCCGGGAACCCCATTGGTTCCGGGCCGACTTCGGAGGCCCGTATATAATGGAGTGCCCCAAGGCTACTGCAGCAGCCCTGAGAGGTTTCAGGGTTCAAAGGTTTTTTTGCCCCAATCAGTGCTTGCACTGAAGGGGTCCTAGCGGAAGTTGAAGGATTTGGCGAACATTTCCCGCCGATGTTGGTAGCAGGTTGTGTTCCCCGGTTCCAGGTACCCGTGTTCCCGGTTGATTGGTTCCGGGCCGATTTCGGTGGGTTTTGGGTTCCCGGGCTCCCGGGTTCCCGGTCGATCTCGTCAGCGCAAACCATCCAGTGATTGGGGTTTCGTCTCTGGTGTAATTTTATTTGTTGTTTTGCCGATCGGCGCGGGTCCTCGCACCCCCCCCCCTTTCCCCCCGCCCCCCCAGGTGGAGCCCCTCCCCTTTGGGACGCACGGTTCCAAACAGTAGCACTTCGCAGAGGTCCAGAGCCAGACACCCCCCCCCTCCCTTCCCTTTCCGCCCAATGTCGAAACGCCGAATAAACAAACGCTCATCTTCGATTAAGCCGGGTATGTCCCTGTACAGGAGGAATGTTCAAAAAGATGTAAAAAAATAGCAGGGGGACGATTTTTCGACTATGTCTGGACTATTTGGGAGCATTTTTCTGTTATCTTAACTCTTCCTCCAAGGCCCCCCTGTAGGGGGACACGACCGACTTAAGCCTTCGGGGGCTGCGAAGGTTGCCCCTCGTCCAGGGTGCCCCCCCCCCCCTCCGCTTGTCGCTCGATGCCGGAGAGCCCCTGGGCCCCTGTGGGCCTCGCGAGGGGTGCTCTGGAGGGCGCGGGGGGCCTCCGTGCTCGGAGGGAGGAGAAGCGACACCAACACCAACAGGGGGCCACCTCCAGCGAGGAGGTCCACGAGGCCTCCCCGAGCTGGAGGCTGGGGATGTCTCGAGCGAGAGGGGGGGACCACACCACCAGGGAGACCCCCCTTGCCTCCTCGCATCTCCTCGCCCTGTTGGTGTTGGTGTCGCCTTTCCTTGTCCCTACCATGCAATTCCTGGGGGCACATTGGGCCAGGGGCACTTCTAGCATTCAGTCGGGCCTGTCCCTCGACAGGAGGAGTGCTCCAAAACAGTCAAAGATGGTGCTGGGGCGATTTTTTGAATATTGCGAAGGCCTTAGGGCCGATGCCGCCGACCCTAAAGGGGGACGATGACCGACGACGACGACGACGACGACAACGACGACGACGACGACGACGACGACGACGACGACGACGACGACGACGACGACGGCGACGGCGACGGCGACGGCGACGGCGACGGCGACGGCGACGACGATCGCGAGTCCTTGCTGGGGCCTTCCCGGGCCCTCTTGGGCTGTCCTGGGGGGCCTTTGGGCCGTCTTGGGGCCTTCCCGGGCCATCCTAGCGTGTACTTGGGCCGTTCTGGGGAGCTCTCGGAGACAACTGGGGCCGACGTGGAATGTATGAAGCTTGGAAGTCGAGCAGGCGAAAACACATGGGCGATTTCGGGACCTCCTGGTAGCCTCTTGGAGTGGGGAGCTTGAAATGTGGGTTGGTTTTCCCCCTCTTCGGCCTCTCTTGGGGTGTTCCTGGGGCTCTCTTGGGCGTTCTCGGTCGGAGAAGGGGGAGGGGGGGGTCACGATTCGCAGGACGCTTCCAGGGACCCTGCGGGATCTTCTCCTCCCTCTCACCCTCCCCCGGGACCTCCCCTCTCTCGTGGGGAAGGGATTACAGGAACGGAGTCCCCTTCGAGTCGATTACGCTGTTGTTCGATTCTCCTCTGGCTGGAGCGTTTGAGGAGGTGGGCCGAGGGAAGAGGGGGGTGGTTCTGGGAGGCTCATGCAGGTTTCAGGGTGGTGCGGGGGAAAAACGACGAAGAGCGAGGGGGAAACAGAGAAGGAAGAGGATGAGGAGGAGGAGGCAGAAGAGGAAGAGGAGGAGGATCGAGGATCGGGGTTCGAGTCGATGTTTCACTTTCCATGGTCTTTTTTGGGGGGGCTCTCTGGAAGCCTCCGAGGATTTCTGGGGACGTCCTGGAGGCGTCTTGGGCCGTCTTGGGGCCCTCTTGGGCCGTTAGGGGATGCTTTTGCACGCCTCTTGGGGTGTCTCGGGGTGATATTGGGGGCCTCCTGGGCCGTCTTGGCGCGTTGGCAAACGTCAGAGGCAAGAGCGCTAGAATCCTGCAAAAACGTATGGAACATCTACGATTTTTGCCTCTTGGGGCTCTCGTGGGAAAGCTCCTGGATGCCTCTTGGGGCGTCTTGGAGGCCTCTTGGGCCGTCTGGAAGCCGTGAAGGCGTCTTGGACAGATCGTCAGGCGAGTCGGGGTTCTCGTGGACTGTCTGTGGGGCATATTAGACCACACTTGGCCCTTTTTGGAACTCTTTTGAGCTCTGGGAATCCCCAGGAGAGCGTCGTATTTGCCCCCCCCCCCCCCCCCCCCCCTCCTGGACCCCCCCCAAGGACCCCCCCCCCCCCCACCCCCCACCCCCCACCCCCCCGGCGGGGGAGGGATCGAAGGGAAGGGGCTTCCCTTCGACTCTCAACGCCTGGGAAAGGAGGGGAAGAGGACGACAGCCACGACGACAAACGAATGACGGGCTTATGCGGTCCCTGGGAAAGGGGGGGAAGAGGACGACAGAGACGACGACAAGCGAATGACGGAGATGACGACTCGAACGGACGAAGCCTCTTACACACGCCGACAGGGTCGGCAGATGTTTTTTTACCATTTCGGGTTATTTCCCGACTATTTTGATTTGTCGTCCAACATCTCCCCGCAGGAGGACAGGCCCGAGTTAATGCAAGTCCTGGGGGCACCTTGGGCCAGTGGCACCTCTAGCAACCCCCGAAGTCTGGGACCCGCGGCGCCCGATGCAGCCTGCAGAGCCGCCGGATCCAAGAGATCCCCGATCCGATCCCGGTCCGACGCTGTCCTGGCCCTGGCTTCGTCGTGCCGCTCCGTACCAGTTTGAAACATATCCCTATCCCTATGTTTGACATCACCTCACCTCGATGCCGATCTTAAGGATTCCCTCAGTTTTTGAGGGCCTATCCCTAAGATGGTCCTCGCTTTTTGCTCGCCCATCTTAGGGATAGGGATACGTTCGAGGCTGGTTAGCTCCCCCAGGGCTTGGTCGCCGGCACCTTCACCGTGGACGACGAGGAGCTCTTCGCCGAGGGGGAGACAGCGGCGCGGGCACAGGCTCACGGAGGCCCGCGCGGACCTCCCGGGCCGGCGCTGGGACCCCCCCCCCTCCGCGGCTCGGAGGAAGGCAGCACACCCGTGCCGCTGCCCGTCCCGCGGCGCCGCAGCTGGGTCCGCCCTCGAGAGTCCGGTCGGAGCACGCCCCGGGAGAGCTCCGCGGAGTGGCGGCGTCGGCCTCCGTTCGCGGCCCCCCGAAGCCCTCGGCGGGCCGCGGGGGTGCCTCGCGGGTCGTTTGCCAGCCTTGAACGTATCCCCATCCCTGAGATTGACACGCCAAAAGGCGATGACCATCTTAGGGATCCGCCCTCGAAAAGTGAGGGAATCCCTAAGATGGGCCTCGTGACGAGGAGATGCCCAGCATAGGGATAGGGATATGTTCCAGGCTGGTAAGTCGTCGGTGCTGCCCCGCCCCCCCCGTCCGTGGCGGCGCTCCCTGGCGCCCGTGCGCGCGCCGCGCGGCGCGCCCCCCGAGGGGAGGCGGCTCCAGCGCCGACGCGCCGGAGGCCGCGCCGCCTTCCGGACGTGTTGGCGTTAAGTCGGGCCTGTCCCCCTTACAGAGGGATTGTCGACGAAGAATTAAAAATACTCCAAAAATAATCCAAAACATAATCAAAAAATAGTCTGGGGACTATCTTCGGGGTATTTTTTGACTTTTTTGTGGTATTTTGGAGGGTATTTTTGATTTTTCGTCGGAAATCGTCATGTAGGGGGACAGGCCCGACTTAGTGTTGGCGCAGTGCTCGGCCGAAGCGGCGTCTGGGCGACGCCGTGCGCCGCTCTCGTCCTGCTGCTGCTTCTGTTTTTTTTCCGGCGCGGGGACGAACAAGTCGGAGGTGGATAGATCTCCTACCCTGACACGTCGATGAAGGAATTGGCCGTGCTCGGTGCGCGAGGGGGCGTCGCGGCCGTCATTGTTGCGGGTCCAGGTCCGTCGGCTTCGGTCCCAGGCCGCTTTCACGAAGGGGAGGTTCGCTAACTGGAGGCTTGTCCACCGCCGAAAAAAAGGCAGTCAAGACAGCGAGGGACAAAAAACGAAGGCAGCGCGAGAGCGAACTCGGGGCGCTGCCGTCCTGGCCGAGCCCCCCCCCTCCAGGTCCATGGGGAGGGGGCAGGGGGAGGGGTAAACCCCTCCCCGAAGGGGAAGAGAGGAGGGGGTGGAAGAGGGAACTCTCTCTCAACCACCGACGCCCAGAGGGCTGGCGGGATTCGGGGCGCGGCTCTGAGGCCGAGCCCCGCCGGCCGTGCGCCCGTGCGCCGCCCCTCTCTGCCCCCTCCGCCCGTCGTGCAGCTGGCCGCGCTGCGGGACGCGGACGGCGTCTTCAGCTCGGGGGCGGCAAAGAGGGGGGTGATGGCTAGGGGGGGGGTGGATCTCATGGCGTGGGCCATGATATTTCCCCGGATGTCATGGCGCCTCTTCTTATTCTAGACGCTTCGCGTATCCCCACCAGCCCGTCCAGAAATGAGTCCCAGGGGAGTGGAGGTTATGAGGGAAGCGGGGGAGCATGCAGAAGAACAAAGGGCGGGGTGAGCCGCCATATACCCCAAGAGGGGGAGGATGTAGGAGGAGCCGTCGTCGTCGGAGTAGGAGGAGGAAGAGGAGGAGCAGGAGGAGGAGCAGGAGGAGGAGGAGGAGGAATAGAAGGAGGAGGAGATGGAGGACTGCGAGGACGAGGAGGACGAGAAGGAGGAAAAGGAGGAGGAGGAGGAGGAGGAGGAGGAGGAGGAGGAGGAGGAGGAGGAGGGGGAGGGGGAGGAGGGAGGAGGAAGAAAAAGAGGAGGAGGAGGAGGAGGACAATTGCGAGCTTGGGGGCCTCTTGGGCCGTCCTTGGGGCCTCTTGGCGGTCCCGGGGGCCTCTTGCGTATCTCGGGGAGCCTCTTGTGGCCTCTTGGGGGTCTCTTGGGGGCCTCTTGGAGGCCTCTTGGGGGCCTCTTGGGGCCTCTTGGGGCCCTCTTGGGGCGCTCTTGGGGCGCTCTTGGGAGCCTTCGAGGCGCTCTTGGGGCCATCTTGGAGGAGATCTATCAAAGAAGGGGGGGTCCCCAATTAGCGCTGCTCCTCTAGAGTGTCTCGAGTCGCCTCTTGGGCCCCCCCAAGAGGCCAACATCCTTCCAAAACCTAGGTAAAATCAATGTTTTTTGTTTTCTCGCCTTTTCGCTCTTGGACCCGTCTTGGGGGCCTCTTGGGCCTCTTGGGGGTCTCTTGGGGGCCTCTTGGAGGCCTCTCTGGCGCCTCTTGGGGCCTCTTGGGGCGCTCTCGGGGCGCTCTTGGGGCGCTCTTGGGAGCCTTCGAGGCGCTCTTGGGGCCATCTTGGAGGAGATCTATCAAAGAAGGGGGGTTCCCCAATTAGCGCTGCCCCTCTAGAGTGCCTCGAGTCGCCTCTTGGGCGCCCCAAGAGGCCAAAATCCTTCCAAAACCTAGGTAAAATCAATGTTTGTTGCTTTCTCGCCTTTTCGCTCTTGGAGCCGTCTTGGGTCATCTTGGACTCTCTTGGGGCCTCTTGGGGGTCTCTTGGCAACGTCTTGGAGGCTTCTTGGGGGCCTCTTGGGGTCTCTTGGGGCCCTCTTGAGGCGCTCTTGGGGCGCTCTTGGGAGCCTTCGGGGCGCTCTTTGGGCCATCTTGGAGGAGATCTATCAAAGAAGGGGGGGTTGCTTATTAGCCCCGCCCCTCCAGAGTGCCTCGAGTCGCCTCTTGGGCCCCCCCAAGATGCCAAAATCCTTCCAAAACCTAGGTAAAATCAATGTTTTGTGTTTTCTCGCCTGTTCGCTCTTGGAGCTGTCTTGGGCCATCTTGGACGCTCTGACACCTCGCGACCGGCCCCGTCCAGGTCAGTGGGGAGGGGTAAGGGGAGGGGTAAACCCCTCCCCGAAGGGGAAGAAGGGGGTTGGCAGAGGAAACTCCCTAGACCACCTACGCCCTAAAGGGCTGGTGGGATTCGTCCCGCCGCGCGCTCCGGGAGGACCCGGCCGCACGCCGCGCTGCTGGCGGGCGGCACGCACGTGTTCTGGGCCACCGGGGGCGCCCTCGTGGGCACCACCACCGGGGCGCCCGTGCCCGAGGCGCGGCCTTCGAGGAGGGGGCAGGGAGGATAGAGAGATAGAGGAGAAGAGGAGGAGGAGGAGGAGGGAGGATGAGGAGGAGGCGAGGGGAGGAGGAGTCGGAGGAGGAGGAGTGAGGGATGAGGAGGATGTGAGGGGTGGAGGGGTGAGGGTGAGGGGGGAGGGGGATGGGGGGGGGGGGAGGGGGGCAGAAGGATGGGGGGGGGAGGTGACAGTGTGTAGGGGGCAAGCCTAGGTGGTGCGCTCGCGTCATATCTGACGTCCTACCCCCTCCTCCCATCCCTTACCATGGCGCTGATTTTCTCTATCCGCGGACGCGTGTCGTAGCGGACCTGTGGCTCCGCGCGCGCGTGCGTAGTGGGTGGTGGTGCACGTGCGTGCGTGCGTGCGTGCGTGTGTGCGTGGTTGTCGTGGTGGTGGTGGTGGTGGTGGTGGTGGTGGTGATGGTGGTGGTGTTGGTGGTGGTGGTGCTGGTGGTGGTGGTG